ACAATACTTACGAACTATAGCATATATAAAACGTAGAATCTCCTTGAACAATCGCCATTGTTGCTTCGTTTCCCTGTTAAAATCAGTTGGTTTACATTTCCTGACAATTGATACTGAATTAAGACGGTATACACTCCACTGACGCCAGGCGTTCCTTCATTTAACAGCTATTTAGGCGTTAAGGCCAAAAGAGTTACCTTCCTTGTTCTACTTACGGTCTGACTTCATGGTGTACATCGATTTGCGAAAAGGGAAGCGATATACGGAAATCCTACATTTAAAGGAAGGTTTCTTGTATCCGTACACAGAATACGTGGAAAATGATATTTATGCCAACAGCTGGCACAAACATAGGTTGTTTCATTGCTTAAGACCGCTCCCAGCAATATTCCAGCAAAATGGCGACGATCTGTAAAGAATATCGGGTCTGGACCAGACAATCCAGTGATCAGCATCATGAGCATCGATGTATGCAGTTGGGATACGACATGTGTCAAACCAAGTTAGTGAGCCTGACCTCCCGATCCCGTTAACTAGTCGCTTCTGGGTTGCTGCAGACCAATTCTAACCTGGATCTTCACGGATGTTGCATAGGTTCGAACTGAAAAATAAATATGCATACCAACTTGCAGTTGTAGGTCTGTATTTAATATATAAACTACCCATCAAAAGTTTAGACTCACTAAAAGCACTCACTATATGTTATGTATATATATACGGTAACATCGAAGATGAATTTCTCCACTGATTTAGGGGGAACCATCTGCAAACCTTATGCAGATGAATTGCACGAGGATCATGCATCAATTTTCTGAAAAACATGTGCAAATATCTATTTCTATGACTGAATTAAGTGGCTACGGAAAGAAAAAAAATAGAAAAGTGGCTACATTTACACTAGTGAGTCTAAACATTTGATGGGTAGTATAGGTATATGGACATGACTGATTGCTACAATAATGTAAAACGTATTTCTGTTACAGTACAACGTGTCGGCTCAAAACATAGACTGTGGACAAACCTAACTGCCTCCGTGGTGTAGTGGTTAGAGCGTCCGCCCGGAGATCGGAATGTCGCGGGTTCCATCCCCGACCGCGTCATACCAAATGACGTTAAAATATGTTACTTGTTGGTCCCTGCCTGGCGCTCGGCATTAATGGGTACAACAAGGACTGGTGGGCTCGGAGTCAGTATAATGTGTCTGAGTGGGGTATTCATGCTTCACTGCGGCATGGTATCTCAGTGGGCTAGCACTATAAAACCAGCTTCAGTCTGGGCTAGTACAAGCAGCCGCACAAACACATACACACGCATCCACGTCGTCATATGAGCGAAATATTCTCAAGCACGACGATAAACCCAATTTCACCTCACCTCACCTGTGGACAAACCTGTTTAAACTGATTAATCTGGATCTTTCTAAATAGAGGACCACATTTTTTGTGTCCCGAATGTTTATGGATCATGAAGTAAAACTTGTTTAATTCGGAACTTATTCACTCTGAATTGAGACGGTATACACTCCACTGACGCCAGGCGTTCCTTCATTTAACAGCTATTTAGGCGTTAAGGCCAAAAGAGTTACCTTCCTTGTTCTACTTACGGTCTGACTTCATGGTGTACATCGATTTGCGAAAAGGGAAGCGATATACGGAAATCCTACATTTAAAGGAAGGTTTCTTGTATCCGTACACAGAATACGTGGAAAATGATATTTATGCCAACAGCTGGCACAAACATAGGTTGTTTCATTGCTTAAGACCGCTCCCAGCAATATTCCAGCAAAATGGCGACGATCTGTAAAAAATATCGGGTCTGGACCAGACAATCCAGTGATCAGCATCATGAGCATCGATGTATGCAGTTGGGATACGACATGTGTCAAACCAAGTTAGTGAGCCTGACCTCCCGATCCCGTTAACTAGTCGCTTCTGGGTTGCTGCAGACCAATTCTAACCTGGATCTTCACGGATGTTGCATAGGTTCGAACTGAAAAATAAATATGCATACCAACTTGCAGTTGTAGGTCTGTATTTAATATATAAACTACCCATCAAAAGTTTAGACTCACTAAAAGCACTCACTATATGTTATGTATATATATACGGTAACATCGAAGATGAATTTCTCCACTGATTTAGGGGGGAACCATCTGCAAACCTTATGCAGATGAATTGCACGAGGATCATGCATCAATTTTCTGAAAAACATGTGCAAATATCTATTTCTATGACTGAATTAAGTGGCTACGGAAAGAAAAAAAATAGAAAAGTGGCTACATTTACACTAGTGAGTCTAAACATTTGATGGGTAGTATAGGTATATGGACATGACTGATTGCTACAATAATGTAAAACGTATTTCTGTTACAGTACAACGTGTCGGCTCAAAACATAGACTGTGGACAAACCTAACTGCCTCCGTGGTGTAGTGGTTAGAGCGTCCGCCCGGAGATCGGAATGTCGCGGGTTCCATCCCCGACCGCGTCATACCAAAAGACGTTAAAGTATGGTACTTGTTGGTCCCTGCCTGGCGCTCGGCATTAATGGGTACAACAAGGACTGGTGGGCTCGGAGTCAGTATAATGTGTCTGAGTGGGGTATTCATGCTTCACTGCGGCATGGTATCTCAGTGGGCTAGCACTCTAAAACCAGCTTAAGTCTGGGCTAGTACAAGCAGCCGCACATACGCATGCACGTCGTCATATGAGCGAAATATTCTCAAGCACGACGATAAACCCAATTTCACCTCACCTGTGGACAAAACCTGTTTAAACTGATTAATCTGGATCTTACTTAATAGAGGACCAAATCTTTTGTCCCGAATGTTTATGTATCATGAAGTAAAACTTCGGAACTTATTCACTCTGACTGAAAAAATTGGTCAAAGATCCAGTTTGTCATGTAAGAGACGTACTCTTAACCGGAATAATTTTTCATTTTTATTTTCTTTGTTTTTAGTTCCCTGAGATGTCTAATACTGCAATCGAAACAGAACTGTTGTATCAGCGTAGTTATTAATTGTTATCACTATCATTATCATTTGAGTTAGAAGTAGTGTTGGGAATTGGTGTAAATCTCATAATTGATGATTGGTTCATTACAACCGATCAATCATCAAAAATAATTGGTTAGCGTCATTTATCAAATTTTCCTGGTTATGTTTGTTAATGCACAAAAAATAAAGAAAAAACATGTAGTTCTCTCGGTTTTTCGCAAATTGCACAAAATGCATTTGCAAATTTCACATCTTTAAAGGATGACTAGTGTGTTAGGAACATACATTTCCTGGAGTTGTTAAGATAAACTTAATCATGACTTGGAACGAGCTTGTAGTGCTTATGCAATGTCGAGACAAAATCAACCTTTTGTAAAAATATTGATATTTCAAACCAGTGTTCCAAAATTGTTTGTGTTCGATTATGAGAAAACATGATCGATTGCTTGGTCGTTTTGTCATTGCGACCAATCTTGCGACCACCACTCGTTAGAAGTCTGACAAAGTGATGTACGAGGTCCTTGAATGGGGCAAAATAAAAGAGCGGTGAGATGAGCATCAAGATTACTGCTCGTTTACAGTTAGGGCGGTGGGGTAACTCAGTGGTTAACGCCATCGCTCGTCACACTAATGAATTTACGGGTATACATTATCTACAAGTCCCACCTGGTCTGTAAAGTCCTATTTGTCGAGCACGACGTATGTTATCAAGAAAACAAGTTAATCCTCGAGAAGTTAGAAGAAATTGTTTGATACATGGCCTCGTATCACCAATGTGAAGATCGATGCTCCTGATATCACTCGGTGGATTGTCTGGTCTCGAGTCAAATATCTGGTCGTTAAACTATGGTGGCTGATTAGGGCCGTGCTATCGCTTTCTCGTCTCGTGTTATCGCTTTCTCGTCTCGTGATATCGCTTTCTCGCTTTCTCGCCTCCGAATTTTAAGGCGAGAAAGCGATGGCCCTAATCAGCCACCATATTAAACAGCAAACAAGTTAAACATTTACTAATGATTTCCCCATGGCACCTGACAAAAGTAACTGAAGCGGATATAAAATATATATACAACTTAAAGACCTCAAAGAAACAATCGTTTCTCAGTTGCTCGCTCCGTTTGCCGTTTGCAGCCTCATCACTGATGTCATCGGCAAATATAAGTAGTTTCACACATTGATTCAGTCATGAATTAAGCATTTTTCCTTCCCGACATGTTAGTTTTGATTGTTGCCTCGAATACTTAAGAATAACTTCCTGGTCACGTTTTTGTTTGTCGTTTGGTGTTACAAGCAGTGTGCGAAATATCCACTGGCCCGCTAGCCCGTGGCTAGTAAATATCCAGTCGGGCCAGTAAATCGCCAGTCACTGGCCCGACTGGCTAGTGAATTTTGATGGGGTTTCATTTTGTAAATATATCACTCTCTCCGACTTTATGGCCTGATTATGGCAAGATCATGGCCTGATAAAATGTTCATCATAATAGCAGCTTAATAATGAAACACCTGTCATGCCGACGATATCTCATTCTCATCTATTTTTGTAATCCTTTGCATAGTTTCTACATTCAAATTTTGGGCTAGTGAATTATTTTGTTGACTAGTAACTTTCAGGCATAGCTAGCCCGACTGGCTGGCAAATTTGGAGACTATTTCGCACACTGGTTACAAGTATTATTCTGAAGTGTGTTTTTATGAATTAATTAAAACAAACTTTACTACAACTGTAGTTTTGTCATGCAATTAAAAACTTGTTAACTCGTCACACCTAAGACCTGCGTTTGATTCCCCCCAAGCCCCCCTGTTCCTACGTCCCTGCATCTTAATATCTAAGGTTGCATTTTAAGGATTCTATCCCATTATCTGTATTTGATAAACTCGATTTCAATCAAACGTGATTGCCAGAGATGTGGTAGCTTCGAACGACTCGTGTCACTAAGTAAATACCAGTAGAATGATTTAATGCATTAGTTCTACATCCATAAATACCACGTTATACACATCCAGCCCCGATTGAGCATTGTGTATGATTTTGGAAGGGGCGTACGCACGTGGATCTCGTGCTTCACGTGCACATTCTCGTTTGCGGTAAGCGTTGACAGTAAGGTTTCTGTGCCTTGCAGCGTTGTATTGTAGGAACTGGGAGGCGAAAATCATGAAAGTGGTAAGTAATTGTAAACGTTTGTACGTTGATTGTAAATGGCGAGGCATGAAAAGAACCTTTTTAGGATCCACGTCCATGCTTTGAATAATTAGCAACATCTCATGAAACCGTTACGAAAGTTAGCCGTGTGTGGGTCGAGACATTACAACTGCCCCTATGTGTTGCAAAGTGGACATATTGTAAACGGGTCAGTCTTCTTTTCTCGCATTCTTGTCACATAAACATTTGTGAGGGCTGTTGATCCCACCTTGGTCACAGTAAGCCAGGTGTTCGAGAACGGATGGAGATGGCACAGCACAGGTTAATGAATCAATAACTTTGTCTATGAACGTGCTTCTCGAACACCTGGCTGTCCCTTTCTCTGCCCTCGTAACAAACAGTGAACTGGGTCAATATTTTAATGATAGTTTATTAAACAACTTTTTTATTTTAAGGACAAAAATTCTGCAAAAACCTCACAGAGTGGGTATGATGTTTTTGTAGGTATGGGAATTACGACCACCTTAGCGCTAAGATCGCTTTGTATAACGGCGCCCTGGTGAGAGAGGAAGTTGAGTTTACGCCACCTTTAGCAAATTTCAAGTAATAGCACGGCGGGGGACACTAGATATGGGCTTCACACATTGCAACCATTTGGGGGATCGAACCCAGGCTTACGCTTTGACCGCTAGGTTAACCTGTTCAGATTGTTTCCGTTTCTTGATACAAACAACGTTAGGTAGAATTTGAAGGGACCTATGCAAATACGTCGAATTATCCAGGGTTCAACAGTCTGCCAAAATGATGACGAGGCTTTTACTTCGGAATACCGAAAGCTCGACACAACGGGTTTTTCTGTATATACAGTAATCAGCAAATTCATTGATTAAATGGGTGGGATATATCTTTGATGTTTGATATTCTCCTAATCACGAAATCAAGGCGATTGTGGGCCACTGGTTCGCCCTGACTAAACATGTAGATTTGTTAGCGTCACGTCCGTTTCATGGGTTCGTGAAAGTGGTAAACATTTTATAAATGTATCCCTTTGGCCTTTCGTCCCTTATTCAGCTGAGATACCGTGAAATGTTCTTAAATGGCGCAACAACCACACTCGCCGTTTACGACCGCCTCCGTGGTGTAGTGGTTAAAGCGTCCGCCCGGAGAGCGGAAGGTCGCAGGTTCGATCCCCGACCGCGTCATACAAAAAGACGTTAAAATATGGTACATATGAGCGAAATAATCTCAAGCACGACGTTAAACCCAATTTCACCTCACCTCACTCGCCGTTTACGTTTTCTCTTACAGACGGAGCTACACCTGTTATGGTACCTGTGCGCCGTGGCGTCGCTTACCTACGTCTACCTCATCACCGTCGGCAGCATCGGCATGCTTGCCCAACAGTACAATCTGCCGTTTCCGCCAAAGGTCAAGGACACTGTAGCTGAACGGTTTCAGCCGGGCGCCTTGAAGCAACTCGTACAATACAACGCCGCCTGGGATGAAGCTGATAGGCAACTTCCAATCCTCGCGTCATCCGGTTCCACATTTACCTCTAACGATTCCGGAAGTAACTTTGAAAGGTCAAGGTCAGCATGAGAAGTTCCTCATATACCTCTGTCAGCGTGGGAAATACTGCGGAGGTCTCACGGACAGGATGATCGGTATCGTCACAGCTTACATCGCTTCAGAGATAATGGGCAGGAGGTTTGGAATCAAGTTCGACTCCCCGTGTTATCTTTCTACATACCTCGAGCCAAATCTTATCGACTGGGAAATAAGCCCCTTGGACCTGAGAAACAAAACTTCAAGGGAAAGTGTACACTTGGGAAATGCCGGATTCGGCACTAAAATGAACAAACACCTAGAAAATCTGGCCAAGATAGATATCATATACTACAGGGGCAACGTGGATACATTGGCACATTTAATGAAGAAGAAATTGATAAGATCTGTGCAGTGGGCCAGAGGTAAGTCCCTGGTCGAGGTGTACAATACAGCTCTAACCCGCCTGTTTAAGCATTCAAAACGTCTGAATGAGAAGTACAAACTATTTAAGTCAACTCTGACATATGGCCCAAGACAACTGATATGCTCGCACATGCGCATGGGAAGGAGTGAGACTTTAACAAGTGATTCCAACCTAACTCTTACCCTTCGACCCCGCCCGGACTCGGTGATCCAGTTTGTGAAGAATCGCTTAAAAGCCGGACAGGCAGATCTGTTCCTTGCAACCGATTCTGAGGAAATTCGCCAAAGGTTCAAGAAAGAGTTCCCCGATAATTTCCGCGAAGTTGAAGGGCCGATAACTCACATAGACCAAGGCAGGGGACGCTACAATTGCGGGGCAATGGGTAAGGTGATACTTGATCAGTACATTCTGTCGACTTGTAAAACTCTAATCATGTCGAATAGTGGATTCAGTCGACTTGCCGCTATCATGCGGGGCTCTGACCGTAACCTTTACCTGGCCTTGAACAACGGGAAGATCATTCGCCAAAAGAGAATGAACCCTTCACTGTCCTACCGTAGACGATGACATGGCGCCGTCACAGTGGGGCTTAAGTTGTTGTTGTTTCTATACCACTGTTACTCTTCTGTTATGTTTTGCTTGTTTTGTTGTTACCTGTTACGACCATTAACTGTAAACGTTAATTTGTTCCTTTGTAATTGTTAACAGAGCCACATGAACCCGAGAATGATTCTTTTCTGACCAAACACATGTATTTTGAGAGCAGACATTGGAATCTACCGTCAGTACCAATACTTTCTGCAAATAAATTTGGAAAGTCTCAAAGGTGTTATTGGTATAATTTTTCATGAAAGCAAGAAGGAAATCACGAGGAAGTGATCATTCATTCTGAAGGCACGTCGTATCACTCTCATCAGAGTTGCTTCCCTTGACTGTGCCAGAATCCTTTGCTCATTATGATTCGACAGCTGATTACGATTCTTGGTAAATGTCTTAGACTCGCGAATTTTCCAACAATCGATGCTCATACTTCTGATCAGTACTTGATCACTGGATTGTCTGGTCCAGACTTATTTATTTACAGACCGCCGCAATATAGCTGGAATACTGCTATGAAAGCAGAGTCGAAAACGAGGTTCATGGTCGCTTCTCACATTGAAGAGGCAGGGGTTTAGCGGTTCATCGGCACTCTGAGATCCGAGTTCAATTCTCCACATCGGAATACTTCAAACCCGTACATGGTATTCCATGTCCATGACACTGCTGAAAACTAAACTTAATCCCCTCTCATGGAACACGATCCTTGTTCGGGTTCCAAAGGGCCGATGAGGTAGCCTTGTGGTTAAACCGTTCGTTCCGTACGCCGATGACCTGAGTTTGATTCCCCACATTTCTGAAGTCTCCCATCATAATTTTTGTTGGAACATTTTGCTATAAGCGCAGTAAAACCATACCCAACCAAACGGTTAGCATAAACTGAATTTTGTCCCTATATGCCTACGTAGTAGGAAACTCAGCGTAGTATACTCATCACAAAAAGTTAAGCAACACAAATGTTTAGTCTCCATTACATTTTCATTTTATTGAACTTGCAAATCATGGAATGATGCAATAGAAAGGTGAAACATGTACACACGATGAACGAAATGAAATGAAATGGTATTGAGCAATAATAGACTTACAAATCATCAAAAGCATGTACCCGTGAAACAGTCGTGCAAAATGTGCTGCACTGATGGAGCAAAATGTTAACTTAAGGTTCAAGTCAGTTTTGGACAGTGAAGCAGTGTTCAGTAACGCCTATGACCACCATGAGCACAAATGCAAGCTTCTACAAGTCTTTGCATTGACCAAATGAGCCTTTAAAGTTGCTGTTGTGGAATGTTCTGCCATTCTCTCTGTAACGCCTGCTCAGGGTCATCCAGAGCCTCGGGGGTGAACATGAAGACCGTAAACACGACTTCCAATAATGTCCCAAGCATGTTCAATGGGACTAATATCAAGTGTCCTTGCATGCCAGTCCATATGTGTGATGTTGTTGATCTGAACAACATCGTCAACAACTCTTTCCCGGGCATTATCATCCATAAAAATGAAGGTAGGACCCGCTTGTTGTACCAGGGGAATGATTACAGGTAGGTTTACACCGATCTGGGTGCATGTGTGAAGAGTGGAGAACATTCATGCCACACATTTTGCATGTTGCTTCTGAGGGTGGTTGTGTTCGGGTGATGTCAATGGTATCAGACAAATCAATTTGACAGTTACTAAAGGTTATGTAATCTTTGAATATATACCTTTCAGTAACATGTCGGCAAATATCGCTATCGACATTGATAAAGATATTACACTGAAAATACGTGTTGCTTAATTTTTTGTGAGGAGTATATAAACTGAATTTTGTCCCTATATGCCTACGTAATAGAAAACTCAGCATAGTATAAACTGAATTTGTCCCTATATGTTGTAGAGGGGTGGGGGGGGGGGTGGTGGTGTTTAGAACTTTTTCGTCGGCCATTTTGATTTTTGACGTCACATACGTGTGACCTTTGTGTGACCTAATCGGCTGTTGAACTCTTAAGCCCCACACTCCTTTGGGAGTTCCTTTCCGGCCCAGGTGTGTGCGTGTGTGACCTTCAGGTTCACCTTAGAGGTCTGTGATTATTATTCAATTATCTTATGAGTGGTGGGAGTTTGCCGAACGCGCGGCGGGGGATAATTAAGTAGATCAGAATCTGTGCATGCAAAACACGCACGAACAATATTTTTTGCTTGTTTTTATGAATTTTTTTTGCGTGAAAATTGTAATGATACACAATGTTGGACTATTTGATTTCTAAAAAACCCCTTTACCTATAAAATACAACAGTATTTGAGTAAATTTGAAGTTGTATTAATATGTACCATGTGGTTTGAAATAATTCGCCAACTGTAGTTTAGAATGACTATCTCTTCCCCGAACGTATTTCCGTTCCTCTGGAATGGCCATGACTGACGTAACATGTGTTCAAGGTGGCCTGCAAATTATTGCGCAATACCAGGTAACAACCAGGCTGAACTCAAGTACACCAAACTGGTCAAGATCATGGTTAGAATTGGTCTTCAGCAACTCATGTTTATCGTAAGAGGTGACTATCGGGATCGGGTGGTCAGGCTCACTGACTTGGTTGACACATATCATGGTATCCCATGATCTGACTTTCTGGATTGTCTGGTCCAGACTGGATTATTTACACACCACAGCCTTATAGCTGGAATATTGCTGAGTGCGGAGTTAAGCAAAATATATTCAAACAAATAGTTCACTATTAGCATGATCAATTACTGGTATAAAATGAACATGTTTGCACAATGGAATCAGCCTGAACTAGGTCTGAATACTACCCTGTTTTGTTACTGGAGACCTGCGGGAAATCAAGAGACTGCTCATTTTCTGACACAGTGATTTGTGTCTGTTGTTTTTAGCAGGTTCAACTGTTCAATATTATTGTAGTTAGTGTGTACGTGCATGCATGTGAGTGAGTGTGTCTGTATGTGTGCGTGCGTGGATGCCATGCCGCAATTTAACACGGATACTCCAGTCCCGTGAGTGCACAGAAGGCAACAACAATCTTTTCACATATTTTTGTATGATGCAGAAGTTTGGTGGTTTTATCTGATCTACCCATGGAATCAAATCAGAGAGTAAGTCAGGTTATTATAGGAATGGGGATAAAATACCCTTGGTCATTAAGAATGATACACTGACAACCTCAAACACAGCTTCAGGTGAAACCTGGATGTCAGAGTAGAACTGGAGAAAGCATGGGTGTCTCATATATTGAATCACTAACAATACATGTACTCTTTGTTAGTTTTTGTTGAGTGTAAAACTGAGAATGTTCACCAAGGTGTTCTACCCTCATGATATGTATACAGCACAATTGATGTTCCAACATATTTGTTCTACTGGCAGAGTCTTACTGTCAAAGAACAACGCTAAGGCTGTCTACATAAGCTCCATAACTTAACAACAGATGTCAGAAGGTTCTGCAAGCGAATGTCACATCCTGCTGAGCAGAGGAAGCAGATCGTCACAACACAGAACTACAGATTATGAGCCACAGACCGAAGACTCCTTCCTCAGAGTTCAAAAGCTGGAAATCTGGCGGTGAGAGGATCCAAGAGGTCGGCAAGGAAGTAGATGGTGCCAGACATTCCTGGAAGTAAGAGAATTCTTCTAATGTCTTGGATTGCAGCAAGGGCAAGTGTATTACTAATTATGATCGTTTTACCCACAGACATGAATCATCCTCAAAGCATTCTCTACTTTCATAGGGCCACCTTCCTTTCATGTAGGCTAAATGAAATATCAATTTAAAAATAATAAAAATATTATTGCCACTTTTAACAAATACATACTCCTCAACAAGAGTTGTCATATAAAGAATGTATGTTGTGTCACAATGTGTGTATGTATGTGTGTGTGTTTTTATGCAGGGATTTACAGGATGCGAATTCCTGCGTCCTATACACATAAAAATTGACCATTGACAATTTTATTTCACTGAGTCTGCTTCTAGCCGGGTTATGGTATAATTTGCAATTTAGTTACTGTAACAATTTGATGATCATGATACATAATACAGTACCAGTAACTGAATTACAACAATATTACAACACAATAATATTTAAGTGTCTGGGATCCCCATTTTGTAGTCCAGGACCCCTGAAAATTAAGAGTATGAGTCCCAGGGACACTCAAATACAGTACTCAAGGTAAATCCCTCTGTGTGTGAGTGTGTATGCGTGGCTGCGCACTGCATGGAGGGAGGGAGGGATGATGATGATGGAGGGAACAATGAATGGATGATGGACTGTGAATAAATGAGGGATGGAAGGAGGGATGGATGATGAATGGATGGATTCAGTGAAACAATTCATCTCCCTGCTGCCTGTGAGCTTCCCTTCCATTAGCCATTCAACTGAATTGCTATTAGCAGGATTTGATATTAAATTACTATTAACATAATGTAATTGTTGGCCGTTACATTCCTGTATAAGTATTAAGCTGGCATATAAGATAGCCATCCCTATTTGGGAGTTGCCAAAATCCTATAACCCCTGGTTGTATCCCATAGTGTCTTATTACCAATCCAAACAAGACTGTCAAAGTGCAGAACAAAATACATGCCAGTAAACTGACTCACCTTCAAATAGAGAGTACGGTCTGTCTGGAGTACCACACCCGTGGGTACCATAGTCACAGCACCAGTCAGCAAACTGTAACCAATAGCAACATGTTTCAGCATCCGACCAACCTTAATCTTAACCAACCTGAAAGTGTGCGTGCTTGAGTGCATGGGCATTATCTTTATTCATCTTAACCTGCTTTACCACCCACCCTACTACTTGGGGCAGTGGGATAGCCTAGTGGTTAAAGTGTTTACTTGTCATGCCAAAGACCCGGGTTCGAATCCCCTCATGGGTACAATGTGTGAAGCCCATTTCTGGTGTCTCCTGCTGTGATGTTGCTGAAATATTTCTAAAAATGGTGTACAACTAAACTCACTCAAACACCTTCCTCACAAAGCAAAACATTTTAAACCTTCTGTGTGTCAAACCCTCACCTTGCAGGCCCTGTACAGGTATTTCTGGTCCTTGGTGAGTTTAAACATTGCAAGGAAAGCGTAGGCATTGCCAGCTGTCCCGTGACAGATGCCATATCCCTTCTTTAGCAGGCCTCGCTTCCAGATGACATCAGCACAGCCCTTGGCCGCCTCCAGATACTGCTCATCTCCGAATGTCTGTGGTAACATAACCAAAGATGATATTATTGAAAGAATCTTATGGTCAGTTGATACCTCATCTGCTGCTAGTGCCATTAACATATCTGACTAATTAAATTTGCTAAATTCTTTGTCATCAAAAGCTACACTTCATAGGTGTGAGTCCCTCGCCGTGATGTTGCTGGAATATTGCTAAAAGCGGCGTAAAACCAAACTCAGTCAGTCAGTCATAGGTGTGAAAATAGCAGTCTCTGTACCAGACAATCATGTCACCGACATCATGAGCATCAATCTACCCAATTTATCGATCTATGATAAATAGTATTTGCTGAAGGCCATTTCTAACCATGGGATCCTCACAGGACTGGAGGTCTCTAAAGAAAAATAGTTACACAATCTTCTTATATTAAAAGGGAAGTGGGGTAGCCTAGTGGTTTAAGCGTTCGCTCATCACGCCAAAGACCCGGGTTCGAATCCCCACATGGGTACAATGTGTATAGCCTATTTCTGGTGTCCCCCGCCATGATGTTTCTGGAATATTGCAAAAAGCGGTGTAAAACCAAACTCAGTCAGTCAGTCAGTCTTATATTAAATTCTAATATTACTGAAAACAAATGCATACACACACTTTTGTGTTAAAGACCATTGTAAATACTTGAGTTATCTAAATTTAATTACAAAATATGAAAGATGAAAGAAAACAAAGGGACCAAACATTTACTTCAAGACAACCACAAGTTCCACACTTCAAAGTCCAACACAACAGTGGTACAGGGATTTACAGGACATGAATTCCTGCATCCTATACTCATAAAAATTGACAACGGACGTAATGAAATTTATTAGCGCGTCCACAAGGATGCAGAATCCAAATGCTTTTTGTAAAAATTTCAATCAAGTAGCAATAAGTTATCACTGAATCTGCTACTAGCCAGGTTATGGTATCTTTTGCAATTTAATTACTGTAACAATGTGATGATCATGATACACAATACAATAACAGTAACTGAATTACAACAATATTACAACATAGTATTATTAATAATATTGAAGTGTCTGGGACCCCCATTTTGTAGTCCAGGACCTCTGAAAATTAAGAGTATGAGTCCCAGGGACCCTCAAATACAAAACTCCATGTAAATCCCTGCTGGTAGTACAGTTTCTGATCAAAGATTACCTTGTAAGCAAGTAAAAACATGTGAATCCAGCCAGGGGCTCCATGACACCAGTGAACTAGTTTGTCGCCGGAACTACTTCCAAGTGAGGAGGGACAGTTTCCAGAAGGGAAGCGAAGTGTCAGCATATAATCAATGCTAGGTTTAACCAGTGTTGTCAGGGTACTGCTGAAACTGGGATCTTGCACCTGCAGATAGATCAGTAAGGATGAAAATATAAATTAGGTTTAAGGCAGGCCCGTTCCAGGTTAACAGGCAATGTCAAACAAAAATTATGTGTAAAATTTCTAAACATTTTCCTTATCAGGCAGATCCTGATGACTGAAGAGGGTCCTTATCCAACACTGTCCTCTCCATGGGTGTTTTGAGATCTTTCTTTTGTTTGTTTGTTTATTTAGGTATTTGTTTGTGTGTTTGTTTGCCTGTTTGCTAAATGCTGACCTCAGAAATAGTCCAGCTATATGATGGATGCCTGTAAATATCTGAGTCTGGATCAGAGAATCCAGTGACCAACACCACGAAGATTGGCCCAATTGGTATATGCAAGCAAATAAGCTAGTCAGAAGAAAAAATGACAACCAAATAATATAGTTTACTTGTTTCTTTGTTTAACGCCACACTCAGCAATATTACAGCAATATGGCAGCAGTCTGTAAAAAATCATGTCTGGACCAGACAATCTAGTGATCAGAAAGCCTGACCACCCGATCCCGTTAGTCACCTCTTACAACAAGCGCTGTTGACTGCGAAAAAGCGAGAGAACTACATGATTGTAACCTGGATCCTCGAGGGTGAACATGCATGAAGGCTTTAAGTCCAATATTCTTCACCACCAAGCTAAACAAAGTTCACATCACCTGCATAAGCATGTAGAAGATTCCAGCCAGTCCATGGGCAGACCCCAGGTAGTGCTTGTCATGCCATGCGTACATTAAGGGGTGAGACCTACCCTGGTCTTTGGACATCCTCTGGCCCGAGTCCAGTACTGCTTGGACAACCTGTAGATAACAAACACTGAAACTAACAACATGTCTCTCAAAACAGCATGGGGGTCAGGAAAAATGCTGCATGTTACAATATTTAACCTGTGTGACAACAGTCTTAAATAATCAATCTATGAGAACATGTGATTGATATTATGAGCAGTGGGACTTGCAGTCAGTGTTTATTAACAGCTTCTGAGAATATATTATATACCATTAAAACAAAACAAACAAGTTATTACCAAAAGAAACCCTCTTGCTACATAGTGTCTGATTAATGGGACATCATCTCACCTTGGAAATAATCTCGGAGTTGACAAAGTCCCTTCCCAGCTCTCTTCTAATGAGCAACAATGCGTACAGGTAGCCGGTGCGACCGAACAGGATTTCATCTGGCATGGTATCATCACTTATCACCTTGCTATGGAAAGACTCCAATCTGAATCAGAGAGAGAGAGTGAGTTTAGTTTTATGCCATTTCTACAGTCCATTTGATTTCATTTGAGACCAATGAATTACTCACTAACACATAATTTTGCACAGTCACATGAAATCGACAGACAAACTCGGATGACTTGTCTCATAGTTTTGGACACCTGAACAGCCAGGTAATCAACAAGCGTGTGCAGTGAAATTTCAATTTCACACGTTCAACTCGCACACCTGGCTGTTCTACCTGCAAGTGGTCCTCCCTCGTAAGAAATAGCGAAAAGTGACAACACGTTTGTTAAACACCATTTACACTTTTACACAAATTCACACTTTTACATTGAGGTGTACAGTGAAATCACATTCTGATTAAACAATTTTGTATAAAAGTAGTATAAAAAATACATACTAGCACTTGCTTTCAAAGCTGAATAGTCTACATTGATTATATTATAACCCTATTAGGTTATGAAAATTTAGACACGTGCATCTAAATATTAATTGATTTCGTTTGAATAGTTAATCTGGATACACAGCTCTCTGGTGCACTCATCATCATCATCATCATCATCACCTCTGTAAACAATCCTGGCTCTTCTTAGCTTGGCCAAGCTTACTGTAAACTATAGCACCAAGGGCCAGTGGACCAGCATCACCGCACATGAAGGAGAGTTTCCTCCCCTTCATGGAAGACAAGGGGTGCTGTAGGTTGGCAAGAGCCTTCTGGAGGTATTCCTCTCCCTTCCCATCGCCTACTGTTGTGTGTAGGTGGAGGTACAAAGTCGCTCTGCCTGCAAAGGTAGTTGTGATAACTAGACAAACATTTAATACAGAAACAGTAATGAACAAAATGTATCCAGGAAAGTTTTATCATGCCCTGACCACGTATACTGTGTCCACCCCAGTATCTGTTGTCTTCAGCAACCCATGCTTGTTGTTGACTTATTGACGCGCATTGTATCCCAAATTCCCAAATTCTTGCTGTTGATCACTGGATTGTCTAGTCCTGACTTGATTATTTACAGAATGGCGACACATAGCTGGAATATTGCTGAGTGCAGCATAGAACAAAAAACATATGAAGATTGTGCATAGAAAAAACTGACAAAGATCAAGGTCAGGAGTATGTAACAGATCCACCATTATAGTTTGGCATGAAATGCATGTGGACCCGTTTTTTTGTAAATATCTCTTCATCCAATGACCCAATCGATCTCAAACTGTGCAAGTGGATGTTTTGTCAGACAACCTAATCACATTGTAAATCACCGATTTTATGCATTTGTATTAAAGAATCTGTCTATGTAACTGTCAACAAAATAAACAGCAGACCGCAGACTGCTTGCAGAGGGAGGGAGCCAATGACCTGTAACAGTGAGTAAGTATGGTTTTACGCGGCCTTTAGTAATATTCCAGCAATACCACAGTGGTGGACACCTGAAAATGGCTTCACACTTACACCCATCAGGGGAATCAAACCCAGGTCTCTCAGCATGACGAGCAGACACTTTAACCACTAGGCTACCCCACCACCATTAGAAGACAGTAGGGATCACACTTACTACATACCAAATTCCATGATGACACTTAAATCAAGGTCTCCAAACAATTGCTTCATTGATGACGACAGAAGCATTTGTTTTTATGTTGGAAATTGACGAGCTACTGTTACCTGCTCCTCCGACATAAACACTGTCGTCATCCTCAGGCCCTGCAGCCTCTACACGAGACAGCAGTTCATCAATCTTGCCCCTCAGCTGCTTCAGATAGGGTTCGGGTAGCTGGAACACAGCAAAGTAATAAATGCAGTATCGGTAAGTCTCCAGAATACCGGATGCCTTCCGTTATCTTTGAAAGCACAACAAAGTTTACTTTTGGTTAGGGTTAGGGTAAGGTTTAGGGTTAGCATTAGGGTTAGAGGGTGATGTGACGCTAAACAATATGGCTGGTAGGTATCCAGTATTCTGTAGGTGTACCGTTGTATCCATATTACTCTTTTGGTTACATTCCAGTTGCATCACATTTCAATTGTAGCATAAATTAAGCATCATGAGAACAATGCTCCTACGTGGTATATTTATTTATCTATTCATTGTTTTTATTATTTGTTATTTATTTGAGGGGTGTGTGGAGGGGGCAAAGGGAAAGGGGGTTCCTGGAGAATCACAGCCTTGAATTGTTGCCATCCCTGGTTAAAAAAATGTGGCTGCAGAGAAATGTCAAGCTTCAAGGATATAAAATGTTAAAAACAACATCTGGCGCACTAACCCTAACACCAAACATGGCATAAAATCTGTTTCGTACAAGGCTGTTGATCAGTATACGTCCATCCCCGATGGTGTCTACCCTAGATCGTAATGGGGTGCTTGATCGGAAAAAGGATCAATCAAAGCGGTAGGTTAGTGAATATACTATGCCATTCAGAAAGTGTAATACATGTTACGGTACGTAAGGGTATTTAGGCAAATCTAGCTGCACCTGACGCGAAACTGGATTTTGAATAGTTGCAAAATTTGTCTATATTTCGGTATTTGTTGATCAACACTCTTTCTGTTATGAGCTGGATATTGTGACTACAATACATCTGACAGTTCTCACCTTTCCTTCCTCAGTCAGGACACTTTCCCCATCGTAATCCGGGAAGGGATTGCGAAAGGCTCTGTCTGACATCGCCCCAATGTCAGCTGTTTTACCCTAAACTTGTTGACATTTGACAGCACGTGCGGCGGTGTCGCGGCAAAACATCCGGTGGGTGATACTAAAAGCGAATCTCAATATATACGGAATCGAATTACATGTGTTGAAATCCAACATCACGGAACATTAAACCCGCTGATCTAGATACCCCAGTGTTTTAGTGATAGAGCTTATAAGATATATGAAAATAGAGAACGACTGAAGTAGGATTTGGAAAAATCCCTCTTAATTTAATTTTTCTAAGGCACTGACTCTGGATATTTTTAGAGGAAAACTAAACGATAAGTGTATTAATAAGATTGAATGATTGATTTCCTTTGCAATAGTAACGGTAGACGACTCTCAGGATACTTTAACCAAACAACATTACAGATAATTAAAATATTCCAATGATACACGTCTCATGGAGATTCGGGTCAGAATTGATCTTCGGCAGCTTCGAAGTAGACGTGAGGATCCGGGTTAAAATTTCAAATTTCTTCATCAACCCATGCTTGTAATAGGCGACTAACGGGATCGGGTGGTCAGGCTTGCTGACTTGGTTGACACATGTCATCGTATCTCAGTTCCGTAGATCGATGTTTATGCTGTTGATCACTGAATTGTCTGGACAAGAATCGAATATTTTCAGACCACCGCCATATAGCTGGAATGTTGCTGAGTACTGCGTTAAACAACAAACATGGGAAAGCAAACCCAGGTGAGCTCCAAGAGGGCTACGATTTGTTTTGTTGACTAGGAAAGTTGTACCACGCTGTGAACAGAGACCTGCTGTGGGTTAAACCTAACGACTGCTGTTGATTGTATGACCACCGAGAAATGGAATGTTGCTGAGTACTGCGTTAAACAACAAACATGGGAAAACAAACCCATGAGTGAGCCAAGAGGGCTACGATTTGTTTTGTTGACTGAAAGTGTGTACCACACTGAACAGAGACCTGCTGTGGGGACCATTGTGAAGAGGGTGTCATGGTGCTGAACACTGAGGTTGTGGGGTAGCTGGACCGTGATTACATCATATACTATTTTTAGAAAGTAGTGTTTGCTTTTACCATGTGTACGTTATCGCATATATACTAATGGAAAAAAGTAACTGTGCATAACATAAAATTGCATAAAATATAAGTTATTTGATAAGTAATAAACATAACCCTAAACAAACATGTACCAAAGCACTCTGCATGAAATGTGATGTCACGTATCGCGCGTGGTACTTACACAATGAACTTACTCACATTCTGACACCTGAAGTTCACAGACCTGATATTGAAAATTGAAGAACTGTGTGAGTTCAACATCCGACCTGCAATACGTCCAATTTTGCCCCAACGTCGTCGACAGGTACAAATCCTGGTGACAAATCATACAGATTTCAAAAGGAACCCATACTGTGTCGTAGGCGAGTAACGGGATCGGTTGGTCAGGCTCACTGACTTGGTTGACACACAATATCCCAATTGTGTAGATAAATCGCTCGATTTTTACAGACCGCTGCTATATAGCTTGAATTTCGCAGAGTGCGACGTAAAACAATATTTAAACAAAACAACAACAACAACAACCCCCCTTCCACCCCCCACCAAAAGAAAAAAAACCCCAAAACACCCCATCCCACCCGCCTTTTCAAAAGCTCTATCTGCCCCTGGATTACAGTAGAATGAAATGCATCCTTCCAGCTCTGTGGCAGCTTCCACCACACCCTTCATGCAGTATTATGTAAATAATCAACACACGTGCAGTCAATTCGTTAGTCTTTTTATTTTTGTTTTCATTAAGTGATAATTGCGTACACTGAAGTCCTTACCATTCATGGCTTATTGTTTGTAGATTAATAATAGTTCATACCGGCAGTACTTACTGTCATACTGGGTTCGACCTTAGATTTCATATCACATTTAGGGCCTGTTCATAATTTATGTCCGGTGTGTGTGTGTAAAAATGACATGATTTTATGGAGATGCATGTACAAAATCGATGACCCCCCCTCCACCACGTCAGTACTAAAATCAATGACACCCCCTAGAACGTGTACAAAATCAATGACCCCTCCCCACCTCCCAGAAGAAAATGGTGACACACACACACACTCGCACAAACACACGCACAAACACACACAGCCACAGCTTATAAGTACAGGTATAGATGACTTGCAGCATTACTTCAATACTTGAGTACACTTCTTTCATCTCGAAATGTAATAACATTTTATCCGTAGGAGTCATTATTCAATAATAATGATAACAATATTTCAAAACGTACATAAAGTTCAACAGCACATGTTAACGCTTTCTCTGGTTCATTAAGAAACACAACAAAGTTTGAGCGTCTGACAAAACCACAATTGCAAATGGAAGCACCACCAGGAAGACTGCACCAGACCCGATACCCACAGACGAGGGCCGTTCATCCGTGACTGACTTCCGTTTCCTTAACGAAGAGGATAAGTTATGTTTGGGAACAGATAGCTTTTTGGCCATTGCGTTTACTAATTCTTTGAATTCCCCGGATGTAGGACTCAACGCCATTCTACAATTGCACCTACAGCGGTTGCTGCTGCTAGAAAACGTGGTCGTAGAGGAGGTGGTCGCAGAGGATGCGGTCTCCTCCGGAATACGAGTCACTCCAACTGATACTGATAAATGGGCGGTAATGTCTGTCATGTATGTTGAAACTTCGTGTAGCGATGACAAAGGGGAGATAACTTCTATCGGTGAAATAAGGGAGGTAATTTCATCCATGTATGTTGAACCAAGGGACGTTACTCCGTGAAGTGATGAGGCACTGTGGATATCTGCCATCGCTGTTGATGATATAGTGGAGGTAATTCCATTAGTAGTTGAAACAAGGGAGGGCACTCTAAATGCTGATGACGAAAGGGAGGTAACTGTGAGGAACGTTGAGTGTGTATCAGTGTTAGTAAATATTTGGATTAACGTAGATGATGCTTGAGGTGCTGAAGTAAAATTGATTTCAGTTGTTGAAAAAATTGTCATCGGAGACGTATATATTGTGTAGTCACTTGACATTGTATCTTCCAGGTAACTGGTATCCAGCGAGGTGCCCATCATCAGATTGGTTGACGAAGGCAACAGACTAGAACTGATAATTCCCTCCTCTGAAAAATGATAAACAGAACAACATAACATTTAGGCATCACAAACGTAAAGCCCCATTCAAATTGACTCAAGAAGCTATCACAATACGTGGGAAATAACTGCCACCTACCCATGCAACCCATACTTGGTGGGTGGGGTAGCCTAGTGGTTAAAGCGTTCGCTTGTCACGCCGAAGACCCGGATCCGATTCCTCGCAAAATGGGTGCAATGTGTGAAGCCCATTTCTGGTGCCCCCCGCCGTGATATTGCCTGAATATTGCTAAAAGCGGCGTAAAACCATACTCACTCACCCGATTTGGTAACAGTGAATATATCAGTGCTTATCTTTTTATAGTGTTATTGATAGTTCTTATAAATCTTGAAATATTCTTAACAAGTGAATAATCATCTGAGGTAAACAATAGTTTGAATTTTGCAAGATTCGGCCATTTACTGTAATAAGTCAGGATATATTGGGATCTTTTGTTGTCAAAGAACGAACATTTAAATAGATAGTGGAATTCGTCGGCTGTCGCCGGTGAATTACAAAGATTACAATTTCTGTTTATTCTTGGCATATTATTCCAGCGGCCAGTCTCTATTGGTAAGTGACGGTTCGATGTCCGAAATGACATAATGGGCCGAGAGATGCACACTTTTCAAAATGGGCCGAGATGAATATCTTCCTCCAGGACCGGATAATAGAAGGTACTTTTCAAACGAGTTTCAATGGCATTTTGAACTTATATGAATATCTTCCCTCTATTTCTCTATAAAATGATCTTTAAGAGTTGATTCAACCATTGAGACTAACCACTGTTTACAAACGCAACTAGGGTTATCAAATACATAGATTAAGCCACAACTGTTTAAAATACTTTTTAAGTGAGATATCCATGCATTATTATTACGGAGATTAAGAGAGTTGTCTAGTTTGAAGAGTTGAAGGACACGCGATGATAACCTATACGGGGAAGATGCTGTTTCTAAATTATACCAAAATGTGATCATCCTTTTAGCGATTATAATGTTCTCAGGGAAACGACCCAGTTCGCCATAAACCATGAAGTTAGGGGTTGATAATCGTAATCCTGTAGCCAACTTGAGAAATTTAAGATGAAACTTTTCAGCATTTACAATATTTTCATACCCCCATATTTCGCTGCCATATAAGGCAATGGGTAGTATTAAAATAACGAACAGATTAATTACAGTATCAAGTGCGAAATTGAAGTTTCTTAATTTCTTCAGTAATGCAAACATGGCTTTCTTTAGATCTAGACAATGAATCATTGATTGCGAAATTAAATCTCCTATTGCGGTGAAAGCTGGTGCCAAGATAAGTATAATTATATACAATTTCAATTGGTTTAGAGTCAAACTGAAAAGATAGCTTAGATTTATTACCGACACCCCCTCCAAATATAATAATCTTAGTTTTTGCTATGTTAACACGAAGGTTCCATGTATCACAATATGTTTTTAATACATCAAAGGAAATCTGCAGTTCTTTCTGGGTTGCGCCTTGAAGTATCGCATCATCTGCATATACATGTAGCAAGATAATGAATTTGATACACGTGTACACAACATCATCATACACACCACTGACGTCGACGCCCTGACAACCTTTGCTCTCAAGAAAAACATCCAAATCATTGAGAAAAATCGAAAATAAAAACGGTGAGAGATTTTCCCCTTGATGAACACCAGAATAACTAAAGAAGAAATTTGAAATTTGGTTGTCAACCATAACACAAGATTATATATTACTATACTTGAAGAATCTACCCTCTATGTTGTATGATAACATTTTTGTGCCAAAGACCTACTCTCCATACACTATCGAACGCTTTTGTAAAATCGATAAAAGCACAAAGAAGTTTTCGTTTGCAGGTTTTGAGATACTGGTTTAACATATTTAAAATGAATATATACTCTCCCAAAAAAGAAATGCATCATGAAAATAGCAATTTCATGTAGCAATGAATTAAAACGTGATTCATTTTACAAAAGGTTTTGCTTTGTTTATGAGTCCTATGGAGTTTATGTTTTGAAACATCACAACAAAACGCACCATCCGTAAAATACCCGTATTTAACAGCATGATTTTCAATTTCGGCGTGTAGTGTCACAGAATACACAATTCACATGCAATGCACGTGAAAGTTGGGGATCAGATAGTCTCAATGATGGGTATAAAAGGTTGATCGCTGTCTGTCGATTATTCACTGTATTTGGAATATTGTTGACGAACGCAAAATGCCACGTCTAAGTGAAGCCAACTGTCATATCGCCATTGGTTTGCTTGAAGCTGGCCAGTCTCAACGTGCGTTGCCCGATGCATGAATGTTCACCAAAGCACCATTTCACGGCTCTGGGAGAGATATCGCCGGCAGAATGCGGTAGCAGATGCCCCTCGAAGTGGGCGACCTCGAGCGACCCTGCGGCGCAGGATCGCTACATCCGGGACATCACTGCGTCATCGAACAGCTACGGCGGACCGCTCGACAAATACCCGGATTGAGGAGGCTTTCTGTACAGACCGTCAGGAACAGGTTGAGAGAGGCTGGTTAACGTGCCAGAAGACCTTATTTTGGCCCTGTGCTTCGACAACAACATCGTCCACATCGAGTTCAATGGTGCACCAACGTTCAGGCCTGGAACCTACCGAATTGGCGTAGAATCCGGTTCAGCGATGAATCACGATTTCTATTGGAACGACGCGATGGGAGAATGCGGGTGTACAGACGTCGACGTGAACGTTTCGCCGACGCTTGCGCTCTCCAGGTGGACAGATTCGGCCGGGACAGTGTAATGATGTGGGGAGTGATCACCTGCCGTAGGAGAAGTGATTTGGTGATGATCCAGGGCAACCTGACAGCTCAACGGTACTGTGACGAAATCCTACGCTCACACCTCCTTCCAATCATTGATCGCCAGAGGGAGTTGTTTCAACAGGACAATGCCAGGCCCCACACAGCACGTCACACTAGAGACTTCCTCCAGAACCACAACATCAATGTGCTCCCCTGGCCCTCAAGATCACTGGACTTAAACCCGATCGAACATCTGTGGGACAGACGGGTGCGACGCCGTAACCCTCAGCCCCAGACACTTCAGCAACTCGCACAGGCACTACAGCCAGTTTCGGCTGCGATTGGGCAACACGAGATTCTGAGACGTATTCGTTCGATGCCGAGGCGATGCCGTGCAGTTCTGGATGCCCATGGTGGTCACACGAGGTATTGAATTCAGCGCCATCACACGTCTCCATGTGACACTCAAACTGACTTTCCTCAAGACGGATAAGTCTGCATTCCCAGTGTGCAATTTCGCTATATTTCATTGACTCATAAAGCCTACAAGATGTTTCAAAATAAACATAAAAATACAGTTGAAATTCCTATATGCGTTTCTTTTTTGGGAGAGTATATTATCAATCGTTGACATGTTTTTTCGAAAGCCAGCCTGTGATGGGCTAAGAATGTTATTTAATTCTAGGTAACTGTTTAATCTGGAATTCAAAAGACAGGTGAATAACTTTCCTAAACAGCTACTTAGAATTGTTACTGGCCGGCAGAGTCACCTTTTTTCTTATATATTGGTCGAATCACCCCGGTCAACCACGAATCAGGGATAACACCAGATGATAAAATCAGATTGAAATACGAAACATAAAAGTCGCAATGAAACAATCAAGTAGTCATTTTTAATCAAATCATGGCCACATTTTGCCATGATGGTGGTACATTGTGTAATTTACTTGATTACGAGTTTTCTTGAACCGGCGTTTCGATTTACGGTCAAGTTGTTTCATAGCCCTACTTTCTTTACCGAACCAGGGCTTATTTGTTATAACGCGTTTACGCGTTTTAACTGGGAGCTGTACTACGTTTGACACTGAACGTATTAAGTGCGGCATCAACCAGCACGTGCGTTACGTCCACTCACTCACTCTTGATATAACGCTCATAACACCTCCACCACCACCATCAGAACAACATCTCACGCCCCCTCCCCACACACACACACCTACTCATCGGTTCCCAACTGCGCAGATCAATGCTCATGCTGTTGATCACTGGATTGTCTGGTCCATGCTCGCTTATGTACAGACCGCCGCCATATACCTGGAATATTGCTGAGTGCGGCGTAAAGGTAAACTCGCCCACTCACCTTGTAACATCCATTATTTCATCTCCCTGATACCCAATCACAGCTTCTAACACCTCGCCTAAATCCACCACCAATGCTACCTATTCTTGATATTACAGTCACCTACCAAACACCCAGTCTCCTGTCGATCCCCACGCCGTCATCACAGCAATAGCTGTCACGTTGTATCTGCTATCTGCATACTGCATGAAGGTGCTCACGCCAACCTGGGTTCCACTTCCGACCTTTATGACCCCTAGTGACCAACTCATCCAGAAGGGTTTGGCTGTAGAAGAGGCCAGGGCACTGTGGGTTTCCGAAACTTTAGCCCGCCCTTGTTGACGTGTCCTCACAACGGACTTGGTGTTTGACCAACCACCAATCACAATTTCGTATATATCCATGGGAACAGTTCCATTGATCGGAGTATACAGAGCAACGTGGGCATCGTTGGAGGCGGTCAGGTTGAACCGGATAGAAGTTCGCTCCTGCACAGTGACACCTAGTGGCCCCAGGGGCAGGTAACTCTGCTGGTCTGGTGTATGCACGGTCACACTTGCATCTGTAATGTCAAACGTGGTTGTAATAAAGCATGAAATGTACCTGAAACAATGTTGGTTTGTTTGTTTGTTGTTTAACGCCGCACTCAGCAATATTCCAGCTATAAGGCTGTGGTATGTAAATAATCCAGTCTGGACCAGGCAATCCAGTGATCAGCATCATGAGCATCGATCTGCGCATTGGGATACGATGACGTGTCAATCAAGTCGGTGAGCCTGACCACCCGATCCCGTTAGTCGCCCCTTACGAGAAGAATGGATTTCTGAAGACAAATTCTTTAACTAGTGGTTAAAGTGTTCGCTCGTCACGCCGAAGACCCGGGTTCGATTCCCCACATGGGTACAATGTATGAAGCCCATTTCTGGTGTCCCTAGCCGTGATATTGCTGGAAGATTTCTAAAAGCGGCGTAAAAGCACACTCACTCACTCACTTTTGCAACACATATCTTAAGAAATGATAATGATATTCCAGAAGACAAATTTTCTCCTGCTTTTCAGTGATGGTAAGGCAGTGAACATACCTTTCTCATATTCTACGTTTTAAACATTTATCGCAAGATAATTAACATATATGTATGAATCCCTGCATCTGCACATTTAAAGAGGTACTGTAATTTAGACATGTGGGAATTGAGACACAGAGCATTACGACTTACCGAATCGATTTTAACCTGAAGAGGAATAGCAATTTTGGTCCTTTCATCATTTATTTAAATTGTAACGCCATTTTGTACATCAGACATCTACAAAGTCAAACGTATTTACTTCGACGCTTCTTACTTATATCGCGTCAATCCATAAGCAATAAATGTATAAAAGATGAGTCCAGATATTTCTTCTTGCCAAACTCCTTTAATGTTTTCAGAATTTTGAAATTTGGTTTTAGGGCCTTAGAAGTGGAAAAAAGGATAATTGTCACTTACTGTCAAACGCTTTTGCTCCCAATATATCGCAATACGTATTGCAATAAGGATACCTGCATCGCTATACAAGTCTAGGTCAAAAGCCCCTCGAAAAATGACCAAATGCCCCTCCCCTCCCTTTTTGTATTAATGGGAAAATAAGATTAAAGACAAGAAATGATTAATGACATGAAAAATTGTATTGCTTCATAATATAATGATTCTGAACAATATTGGAAAGCCTGAGTTTGGCTGTGTGGGAAAGCCTGAGTTTGGCTGTTTGGGAAAGCCTGAGTTTGGCTGTGTGAAATGTTTGTTTTGCAAAAAACCTATTACCTATTTTAGGTTTTCTCCATTTCCTTTACATTGATGCGATAAAATACTTTACAAAATATATAAGAGCAATGAGAAAAGTACTTTATAAAATACCTTTCGAAATTAAAATACGGTTTAAAATATTTAAGAACAGTGAACAATTTTCATTCTTTTATGAAATACATGAATCGAGGGGCTTTTGACAGGGGTGCTCAAATTAGCGAGGGACTTTTGTCCAGAGGGGCTTTTGGTCGAGGGGCTTTTGTACCAAGGGGCTTTTCTCCTGAGGGTCTTTTGATCGGTACCCCGCTATACAATGCAATGCAGTTTATGTGCCCATACACAGCCCTACTATATACACCAAACATTGTCTCATTACTTGTCGGTTTCAGATTTAACAGCTAAAAGTGACCATTCTCCCCAACGTTTGTATCTTTGTGCCAGGGACATTCTACCATCAGTTCCTACCGTTGCATCAGTGGACTAACAGACTAAAGTCAAGTGATTTGATACCTTTCAGTTATTTACTAATTGAACATATTCCACGTTCAATGGTGCTTTCAAGGAAATCTGCTTGCTTGTTATCTTTCAAACCTCACATCAAAACGGGATGTAGACATCGGTCTTTTGATTATTGCATGAGCCTTAAAACCATTTTGCTTTAGTAATTTTGCAATTACTGTCAGTAGATGATTCTCTAATACCCCCATTTCACTGGACGGCGGCATGGAAGGATCGTCGCGGATGTGCGCGGAATGGAGTCTACGGATAATCTTCGGCATTTTTGCACGGAAAATTGGTTAAAATCCTACGGAAAATTGTAATTTGATACTCCTTCGGAATACATTCCGAACGTTTACGGAATATACGGAACAACTGCGGCAAAACTACGGTAGAACCTAGGATTACTTGCGGAATACCCCACGGAAGAAATGCGGAACAAGTAGGAATGTGTGCGGAATGCTACGGAAGACTTTCGGAGTGTTAGAGGAACACATACGGAAACCACAGAACATTGGGGGAATAGCTACGGCACTAATCCGTGTGAGAAGGAAGAACTTCGGAAGAATTGCGGAAACACGCGGAATAACATCGGAATATTTGCGTTATAGCCGAAATGACTGCGGAAGACCCTCATCAACAACGTTTAATTTCGGAACGAACGCGTTATTTCTGCGGATGAAGTTGGCAAAGATCTGCGGATGAAGTCGGAGGAAGCTCAATTCTGCAAGTGAAGACGTACTGGAAACACTTCAAGAAGCTCCACCAAATGGACCAAACTACAGAGAAGGCTGTCTTTGAGTTGCTCCACCTGCTGTTGTTGTTTCCCGAATACAACGAAGTACAACGTGACATAGTCATACACCGCAGAAGACGGCAAAGGCGAAGGGCATACACGCCCAAACGCTTCTGTATACGTCCATGGCTGAGGGTGGAACGAAGAATTGATCTTGGAAACTATGACAATCTCATGGAAGAGCTCCGTTTCGAAGACAAGCAATCCTTCTTCAATTATCTCCGGGTCCCACCTAACCTCTTTGACGGGTTGCTCACGGTCTGGGCTCCCCGACTGACAAAGAAGGACACCAACTTCAGAAGTGCACTCATCGCTGGTCTAAAACTAGCTGTCACCTTGCGTCACCTGGCTTCTGGCGACAAGTATCCAACTCTGGCCTACAACTTCAGGGTATCTCGCCACACCATCGCAAGCTTCCTACCCGAGGTCTGTCAGGCTATCATTGATCAATACAAAGACGAAGTAATACAGTGTCCACATACTGAGCAGGAATGGAGATCACTCAGCTGGGAGTTCCAGGATAAATGGAACCTACCTCATGCCATGGGAGTCCTGGATGGGAAGCACGTCGCCATTCGAAAACCACCATCAAGTGGAAGCCTGTACCATAACTACAAGGGCTTCTTGTCCATCGTTCTGTTAGCATTGGTAGACGCCGACTACAGGTTCCTGTGGATAGATGTTGGTGGGATGGTCCACATGTCTGATGCCCAGATATTCAACGCCTCGAAGCTTAAAGAATGCATCGAAGACGAAACCATCATACGACGACGCTGACACGCCATACTTCCTTCTGGGGGACGATGCTTTTGCCCTCAGAAAGTACCTCATGAAGCCATACTGCAGACGATGCCTTACAGAGGAAGAATTGGTGTTCAACTACAGGATATCCAGAGTCGTTGAGAATGCCTTTGGCATCTTGGCCAATCGCTGGCAAATCCTTCTATCTACACTGCAACAAGGACCAGACGTCGTGAGAAGTATGGTTGAAGCTGCTGTCTGCCTTCACAACATCATGAGGATGAGGTACATTGCCAACCAGGATGCACTTGTAGACAGAGAAGACGATGACCACAACATCATCCCTGGGCAGTGGCGTCAGACGGCCAATATGCATGATTTGGCCAATGTGATGGGTCCCAACAGAGACACTGTAGAGGCCAAGAAAAAGCGAGAGTATCTGAAACTCTACTTCAACAGTGAAGTGGGACAAGTTGCTTGGCAACCATATGTCATCAGACAGGCTCAAGCGTAATTGGGGCGGTAGGGTAACCTAGTGGTTAAAGCGTTGGCTCGTTACGCCGAAGACCCGGGTTCTAATCCCCACATGGGTACAATGTGTGAAGCCCATTTCTGGTGTCCCCCGCCGTGATGTTGCTGGAATATTGCTAAAAGCGGCGTAAAACAAAACTCAGTCAGTCAGTCAAGTGTAATTATGCCGAGATGGATGGACGCTACTCCCTTCATACGTAATATGCACTCTAGACTCTTGACGCAGTATCACCTCACTCAGTGGACTCTTTATGTATGCTATGTCATTGTAAATTATTGCGATATGAATTCGTGTTTTCTCATTTACTCATTCTTGCATTAAAATGTTGTTAAAATGTTTCCTTTGTCATGTTTTTCTTACACGTTATGTCGGGCATTGAAGCTTGTGACTTATGTGTTGATAGCTGGACATCATCACCATTCAGTGCCGGACAAAAGAATGTGAACACAATAAAAGAGAGTTTAATATTGTATGTAATGTGTAATGTTGTTCACTTTCTTTTGTTCAACAGTATTGGTGACAATACGTTTTGGATGTAGTTGGAAAAGTGTATGCTACAGACATCACAATTCAGTACCGGACAAAAGGGTGTGAACACATTTAAGGTCTAAGAGATAATTTGATTTATACAACCCGACAAAAGCTTAGAATCACCATTGAAAATATAATGAAACAGTTATAACAACTGCTCTATCAGCTCTATCGTGACGGCTGGATATACATAAATCGGATCCACCAGACTTGTGCTTCCAAAGGCTGTCCTGAGTTAATGTTGAGCTTAATGTAAACTCTGGGCTTCTTGCCAGGGGCAGTGGCGGGGGGTGGGGTATAAACCTTTCAGAAAAGTGCAATGAAGGCTACAGGGGTCTTAAAATGTCATAAGATATGGCTGATTAATAATAAATAGTCGGTGAGACATTAAAGTGGGTGAGTGAATTTAGTTTTACGGTGCACTCAGCAATATTCCAGCTGTATGGCGGCGGTCTGTAAATAAGTGTGAGTGTGAGTGTGTGTCTGTGTTTATGTATGCAGCTGACTACCATTTAATTGAGCGATGCAGTCCCACAAAGTGAGTTTGTATTTATGCTGCTTTTGATGTTATCTCTAAAAAACAGATCGGGGGACACCAGAAATAGGCTTTACACATTTTACACTTATAGGGAATCGAACCTAGGCATTCCGCGAGACGGAAAGTTTCTAGAAATGTTGCTAAG